AATAAAATATACACTATATTTATGTGAACTGAAAAAAGTACTTTGTGTAATAAAAATTCCTAATAATGTATTGTTTCTTACAATACTTTGATTGTATCAAGGTGCTACAGAACTGCCTTAAAATGTTTTACACGTGAAGCATACTTCTTATCCTCTAGCAATATGATAGAATTAAAGCAGTTAACATGTAAAAAAGTAATTTGGTATATTAATAAAAAGAGACCAATTATTTACGAATCATGTGGTGATGCAGTTTTATGATAATATTGTTTTTATAATACTTAGGAAGATGTTAGTAAATAACTACTATTGTTTAATACACATACCAAAGTTTTATTCCAATAAAATCAATGTTATAACAATATTTAAAAATTGTACAATAGTGAAAGATTCACCTAAAAAAATATATTAATATATTAGTTTATATTTTGAGATTCACCATATACATACACATATGTATATATAATCCATGAGTTCATATTTACAAGAGTGTGTTTTAAATATTTCATCTAAAATCTGTGATAAAACTGTATAGTCATTCAGCAATAATTTATCAAATGAGTATATGTCTAGATAATTAGACAATAATTAGACAAGAAATATGTAAAGTACTGGTTCAAAACTATTGTCTTTGACAATGTAATCATGTGTAGCCCCAACACCTTATTCCATCTAAGATATTGGGTACAGAACGTTTGAAATAGTTAGTATCACATTTTTTTTTAAATGTTTATAAAAATATTGTACTTCTTTTTTCTTATTAGGTACAAATTTGAACTTCAAAGTGATATGGAAGTTATTTGTTCAAGGGCCATTGTTTAAAATATTTTGTAAGAGCAACCAGAGCAAGAAGACAATTTCCTTCCTGAACCAAGTCTAACAACTTCATCTTCGTTAGCACTTATTTGTCGGTTCTCATGCCGTCTCTAGAAATAAAGGAATGAATGTTTTACATCTTCATTTTCTTCAATACGATTAAAAACAAAAGCTGTTAACTCACTTTAAGCTCTGATGCCAAGTAAAAGAATACAAAATCTATGTTGGTATTTTCTTTGGCTGATGTTTCCACTACTTGTAACACTTCAGGAAGATACTCGCGTAGAGCTTCTGCCTCTTCTTTTTCAACTTCGCGTAAATTTTCTAAATCACATCTATTACCTGAAGTATTACACACGTGTCCACACATACACAGAGACATATATATCGATCAGATTCGATTGATCATATTGAAATATCTTGCATAATATTGAAAATTGCCTTACCAACTAAAACTAACAACACGTGTGACGAAGTATACCTTCGTACTTCTTCAACCCAATGTTGTAAACTTAAGAAAGTAGATCTCTTTGTAATGTCGTAGACTAAAATGCGCACATGCCATTATAAAAACGAAATGTTCGACAAATTAAACTTTATAAACTACAATTATGTGTTACATACCTACAATAACACCATTGGCAGATCTGTAATAACTCTGACGTATCGTGCGAAATCTCTCTTGACCCGCTGTATCCCATATTTGTAACTACAACATTAACGAAACAACTTTGCATTATTTACCGAAACAATTGAAACAATTTACCCTTTCGTTACAAGCATGTTAATATTAATAATATAGATCGTCATAGTCGGTCGATCGTGACATACGATCTGTGCAGAGAAAAAACTTGTTTCCAATGCAAAACATACATTCTCTTTTCTTCTATGTACAAAATAAAAATATCATTTTCGGTTGATTTTCGATCAACTTGCGTTAAGTATTAAAACGCTTGTAACAATTGATCGAGCATAGATCGTACGGACTCACCTTGACTTTCTTGTCATCGATCAGTACAGTTTTCATGGAAAAATCTACACCGATTGTGCTTCCGTGTGTCTCGCTGAACGTACCAAATCGAAACCTTTGAACGAAACATGTTTTCCCTGTACCACAGTCGCCGATAAGCACAATTTTAAATAAGTAGTCAAAATTTTCGTCATTCGTAACCATTAAATTATCCGGATCACGGTTCGACATTTCTTTCTGATCGTCGACACAATTCGCGAAATCGACGATGCTCTTCGTTCGCGCATTCAGATCTACTATGAAGAGCTGGAAAGTTGGTGTGTCTAAGGTAGTGGTGTCTATAACTTAATCCCCTCACGCTAGTAACTCGAAACCACCGTTTCCCCACTACCACTACTCGTAGAGTTGGCTAAGACCACAGACGAGGTACATGCAATGTAACATTTTCTCACATACTCTCGGGAGGTACTAGTGCCCCTTACCATTTCCATGTCACGCTCTGTCGTATCAGCTAAGGTAGGTTTTGCATCGCTATAAGCGATAGGAATAAAAATCAAAAATATAATTTATTAAATTAACAATAAATTAAATAAAATTAAATGTAATTTATTAAATTAATAATACATGAAATCAAATAAAATATAATCCATTAAATTAATAACAAATTAAATTAACTATAATTTATTATATTCTTTAAGTGCACTTTATATGAGTACATACTACAGCAAGAATTATCTACTCCTAAAAATCCAAGTTTTTGACTGGTGGCGCCATCCGTGTCAAAACGCTCAAACTGGTAAACAAATGTTACCGATGTGGAAATTCACACGGAATGACTGTGGCGCCCCCCGTGGCAAAATGCTCAAATTGGTAGATAAATGACCGATGTGTGAGTTACATGCCCCATGCAAGTGAAAAAAACAGCAAAATCGACAGCAAATTCATTAATAACTCGTTACCCACGAACGATTCGTTAACATGTGCCATTTAGAATCATAGAATAGATCTTCCCCCACCTTCTCCTGTCAGTTTCGACGGGATTTTGTGGCGTGTTAATTATTTACTAATTATTTTTCGAGACGATGATCCAGGATAACGTAGAATTTTTTGACAAGTGTTCAGTAGATAGTTAAGTTTCTCACTTAAGAGGCATAATTGGTCAACATTTAAGACTGAAGAAATTAAAGTTGACTCTTAGGAACATATTAGTAGCAGCTTCAATAAAATTTGAGTTGTAATTAATGAGTTATTAGCGATTTTCGGAAGTGTCGATTATGTTCCGTAAGAACGCAACGAATAAGGCAAGGAATGGACTATGGGAGTGAGAAAGACAGTGATATTCTCGCGTTTCTTTACTCAACATATTTATCTATGTTCGCCATCCACGGTAAAGTGGTCAAAATTAGACGGCAAATTTTATCTTCTCAAATAAGATCATAATATGAATAATATAGTTTTCTAGTTCTCTTTTTCATTTTCATTTTTTTTCCTACCTAGCAGTAAGAACTTCATGTTTTAGATTTATAATTATTCATCCAACCGTTCTATGTCTAATTAATAAAAGAAATCAAAGTTCCTATAATATTATCGAGCAGAAATTGTTAAACGAGGCATTGTTTTCAATGTTGACGTCAAGGAGGTCGCGACTGAGGTGGGGATCTTCGACCTTATAAGGACAGTCTTGACAGCCGAGGGCTCAGTCCGCCGCGAACTCCCAAACTGGGAGGATCGGGGAGGACCAGCAGACCCTCCTGAGGTCGCCTGGCCTACCATGGCCTACCTTCGGCTACCCTGGCCTACCCTGGCCTACCTTCGGCTACCCTGGCCTACCCTGGCCTACCTTCGGCTACCCTGGCCTACCCTGGCCTACCTTCGGCTACCCTGGCCTACCCTGGCCTACCTTCGGCTACCCTGGTCTACCCTGGACTACCTTCGGCTACCCTCGACTACCTTCGGCTACCCTGGACCTCTCTGGTCTACCCTGGACTACCTTCAGCTACCCTCGACTACCCTGGACCTCTGTGGGCATCAGTGGTCTACTCCTACCTTCACTCTGAGGCACTGGTGACCAGTACTGACTACCACCGATCAGTAGAGAGTAATGCAGATCCATGGTGGCCAGTACTGATGAATGCCAATGGTCCTCGGCTCCTGCTAAGCTACGTACCGATTGCGAACAGCGATCGGTGAGTCGCATGCTCTTTCTTTTTAACTCCAGTCACCGATCATGTCGTAGGACGAATGGTTCGAAACGACACCGGTGACTGGTAGTACCATTTTAGTAGTTTTTGATTTTGTGAGTGCAGTGACCTCGGATATGCCTCTCGAGGCATAACTGAGAGTAGTAGCATTTTTTGATTTATTTGTTAGATAGGATAGGGTTTTCTTGTACGTCGCGTTTAACGTTAACTGCAAGTATTAGCAACAATGCTCTGAATTTTTATCGGATTACAAGTAACGTAACTTAAGACGTAACAACATTGAATATTAAGATAATATGACTGAGAACTTAGTGGTACATTAATTGCATCAATAGGTTCGGTCTAGTTTTCGGTTCCTACAGTTCGACTAAGATACAATACATTGAAATGATTGATTATTCGCGTTAAAGTTAATTTACTCGCTGGAATATGATAGTAAATATCGTACAAGAAAACATTTCGCGACGGGTAGGTCTCTGAATCGAAGCAACTACTTGTAAAACATTCGTCCTATAGTAGAAACAGCTGCTTCGACAAAGGGATCACCCGAGGATTTTTGAAAATGTGTTAAAAGTTTAAAATAGATTCATTCTTATTGAAATTGTACTTAAAGTCTCATTTTCCATTAAATTTCAATCTCTCTTATTCTTTTTTTGCATATTACAGTATTGATATATTAGTGGTTTTATCATTTATAAAGTTAGAGAATTAAATTCTTAATTCTGAGTCAATTACAGTCACTATTAAGAACCGAAGAACATTAGTCCGTTAGAAAAATCAGAAACTAAGATGATTTTATAGCTAGGATTTTCAGGATATTGTTTCCATGCTCGTTGCTCGATCTTTCTCACGTGCCCAGGTGCTACTTGATTGAGTGAGAGCAATGGGCATGATGAAATTGTTATTATTTAAACATGTGAGCGATGGGCAATGGCTAACGTATCGTGTCCGACGTATTATCCACTTATGTGTGTGTGGTTAGGAAATGGGAATGCGTCGGACTTTATAATATAATAAATGCTCTTTATACGTATATATTCCAGTTACTGTAAATGAAATAAATCAATTATTTATGGAATATATACACACTTTTCCTTATTCCCTTACTCAGTAGAGTACGAATATTAACATATTAGAATACTTTGATCGTCCATACGTTACCAAATGACATAAAGAACAGTAGAATTATATTAATTTCGATTAATTGTTCGTGTCAAGTAAAATATTTTCTCAAAGATCGTTAGCCATTGCCAGTCGATTTCAGGAATCGATAAATTAGAGTATGAATGTAATTGTTAGCTAACGTCCCGGGACGTTCTCTCTAGTCGTTAGGTTCTTTCGCACTCAGGTGCATCAGTGACAATCGTGGAATGATGTGTGTTTGCGAGAATGAGTCTTTTGCTCCTTTTTTAAATATAGCTATAGGTAGGCAGGTAGCATACTCTCTGGAATGAATGTTAGATTTAAGTAGGCAGGGGCCGGTGCTGGCCGTCGTTTCTGCACGATGGTCAGTTACCGGGGGACTTGAAAAATCGGTTCAAAGTTGGTAGCAAAACGGAGCATGCCGTTTGCTGATCAGCCTTGACCTCGACTTTTTTAGTTCCACGTAAATTCCGCGGTCGCGATCGGTACTAGGCTCGATTAGGCGAAACGTTCGAAATTGCTCGATTGCACTGTCGAATGGTCGATGGCTGCTCCCGAGCCATTGGCCATTCGCTAGCGAGCAAGATCAGGGTTTCAGAAATGGCGGACGGCCGAAGAAACGAAGAGGCGTATGCCGAAGAGGCCCCGACAAAATGTCGCTCAAGAGGGCAACTATTAATGGCGCTCCATCTTAGCATGGAGATGGAGCGTCATTGTATGTTACTACTTTGTCACTGCACTCACTTTAGCTTCAGTAGAAATAGTAGTAGTAGTAGTAGAAAAGTAATTGTAGTTGCATCGGGCTAGCCATAGCCGCCCCAACGACCAGCAATGAGCATTTCGCGATTTTTAATTAGCGTTGCGAGACAGACATTACGGTTTGGATTAGAGTTGCGAATGATAGAATCGCGATTTCGATTAGAATTAATTTTTATACTTGCTTTTTGAAATTACTGTAAAGATAGCTTTGCGTATGACAAACGTCGATCGCGTTTGATTTTAATACTATTAAATATAAAGCTCAATTATGTTAACTAACACGTAGTTCTCTTGATTTTGATGTAGAGTTGCGATTAATTGAATAAACGTGTTTGATAGAATACACTTTATTAGATATAATTCTCATTGATTAAAGTAGCGTTGCGATACCGATCTTTCGCGTTCTTCTTAATGTGGCGACAATAATTTATCGCGTTGCCTTAGAGTTGCGTTGTATTAAATGCTCAAAAATATGCTGGAACCATAAGAACCACAATGCAGTTTGCATTACTGCGAACAGTGGTTCTTCGCAGCTGAAATAGCTGCACATTATTGCCCGCAGCGGAATTGGCTGCCCCACGATCTTAAACGTAGAGTTGCGCATAATGAAACTGGTGCACGCGAGTTATTCGTTTTATATTAAATAAATTAGAGTTGCGATAGATACTGAAACCCCCGCGTTTTAATTTTATGACATTTCTACACTAGCGTTGCGATTAATTATACAGTTTTCGCATTTCTTACTGAAATCTTTGCATATCTTATTAATTAGCGTGGCGAACAATAACGCACCCCTCGTGTTTATTATTGAAATATTTTTATATTCCCTAAATTAGTGTTGCGAAAGAAATGGTCCACTCCCGCGACTTTCATAGTACATATAATATACCTAGTGGACAGTCCCATTTTTTAAACATCCCTCCTTCTATTCAATTTTATGTAATTGAACGAAACTTACTATATAATGAAGTGAGTTTCTGTTTCAGAGGAATTTGAGAGGGATACGAGATGGCATTCTATGGGAAAAGTGGTATACATTTTAATTTTTATTTTCACTTAATTTATTTAGCCCTTTGTGTTTCTGTTTCAGGGAATATTATAAATATAATGGTAGGGAAAGATTGTAACCCTCTTCTTAGGTTCCATTTCTTAAATTATATTCATCTACTAATCGAATAAGTCACTCTCTGTTGCAGAGAGGACTGAGAGGATTAGAAGATGGCATTCTCTGGAGGTAGAAGGCAGAAGCAACGATTTAACATGCAACTCGGCTGTTCGAAGAATACGCTCGGTCGAAAGTTCTTTCCCTTTTTATCTTCATTTACTTTAATCGTTTCTGTTGCAGGCGACAAAATGTGTTACTACATATACACTTGTAACATTTTAACATTGACATATTATTAACTTATTGCGAATACAATTCTTATTTAATGTTCTATTTCAGAATAGGCTCAAGAAAGAAGACAGCCGCCGAGGGATTCGTATAATATTAACTGCGATAGGAATAAGTGCGTTAAATATAAGCGCGTTAACAATAAGTGCGTTAAATATAAGCGCGTTAACAATAAGTGCGTTAAAGATAAGATTTAAAATTAGAACGGGAGGTCGGTGGAATTGAATGTCCACCCACCTCCCAGGGTCTCCTCGCAGCAACCTCCACGTGGTGAGACCTGGGCAACTAACATTCTCCTGAGTAGAATGTTTCCTATGAAGGATTATGTTAGGCTAATTGGCTGCGATAATATTGTAATTTAAATGCAAAGTGTGCAATCATCGGCAGGGAAAGTATTTACACAATATCTACGTTTTTCGTGGATGATGGAGAGAGTTGTTTAACTTGCTTAATTTTTAGGACATTCACTATTCCGGTACATAATTAAAATAAGCTGCGAACTATGCAGTTTACAGATTAGTAATTAAAGGAAAAGAATTTCACGGAAAATAATTTTCAAAACTTATATTGGACAACGCTCTGATTCTTCGAAAAACGATAAGAACTTCGCCGATGATATTATTGAAGTAAACTGTGTTCATTTTCAGTATTCCTATTATACTGTATTATATAATATATAATTATACTATAATATTTTTATCGACCAACTTCTGTGACAGCTTGTTTCTTGCTAACAATTTACAAAAAAAATATCACGAATATTAACAAAAGAATTTTAACATGTATAATTAAACGATTTATAATAACATTGGCTATAAGAACGCGACTAATTCGCCGTCTAGCGATAGAGCATTTTCAAAGCTTCTCCCTAACCCCGTAATGTGTAAGACAAAGACAGAGCTACTGTCTGACAAGGACAGAGACAGGTTTCTCGATTCCACCTCGTTCGAAAGAGCATCTCATCGGTCCCTGGTACGTATGCGCAAAGCATCAGGACCAAGGAGGTATTCGACAAGGACAGACTTATGCGTTTCTCGATGTAAGACAAGGACAGAGATATACATGCCGCCATCTAGCGGTAGCAACGTAGAATTATATGCGTCTTGCAAATAGGAAAAAACAAAGGGATCAGCAGCTAATTCATTAATAACTCGACTTCCACGAGTGATTCGTTAACATTTGTAATGTCAAATCATAAACTGGATCTTTCCCTACTTCCTCACATCGCTTTGGATAGGATTTTGTGCCGCGTTAATTACTTATTAATTATTCTTCTGGACGATGGTCAAAGAGAATCCAGAATTTTTTGACCGATGCCAAGTGAATTGTTCAGTTTCTTACTTAATAGGTATAATTGTTGAACATTTGCGATTGAAGCAATTAGCGGGAACTCTTAGAAATATTTCAGTACCAGTTTGAATCATATACGAGATGTAATTAATTAGTTATTAGCGATTTTCGAATGTGCTGATCGCGTTCCATAAGAATGTACCGAGTAGAAGGAATGTTCTATGGGAGTGAGAAGGACAGTGATGTTGTACCGTTTCTTTATTCAATATATATTTGACTTCAATGTTCAATAAATTATAATGTTGAAATATTTTTACTACCAACTCCTATGACAGCTTGTTTCTTGCTGACTATTTACAAATAGAATATCACGGATATTAACAGAAGAATCTTAAAATATATAGTTAAACGATGTATAATAACAAACATAAATTGACATTATTTGCAATTTACATTATCGACACGTTAGCCACAGCTTATGACTCGTAGCGCCATCTATGGCGAAATGCTCGAACTGTTACATAAAAAAGTTCACGCACTTCACAGGAGATGGCGGTAACATATCGTTGCGAATTCAAGACGCAATGCGAGTGCAAACGTTTAAATAACACATTATGTTCCATGGCGAGTGTAAATATGGGGCCGATACAATGTGTATAATATATAATTCTATGTAGCGTTCAATCACACAGATAAAAGTTGGTATGGAGAGGGTAACATCTTGTGAGGGGAGTGACATTAGAGTGCCTACGAGCACTGATTTAGCATGCTTGGTCTAAAAAATATGGAATTTGATTGGTTAGTTGGGCACACCTACAATCCAGGGCAAAATAGTAGCCTCTTTCAACATAATTTAATTGCTGTTTATTAAATGATGTAAATTTATTATTTTTTATAGGTATATCTACATGCAATAAATTCTGACAAGTAGTTAATATTTCTGATCTACAACTGTACAATTGTTTGTTAGTTTTGAAAACATCCATAGTACAGTTTGCCTCTTCCCATTTGGAACTTGCTCTTTGGAACTTGGACTAGATTTTTATACGTTGTATGATATGATTGATAACAGCTGCACTATCAGTTATTGGAAGCTATTGTAATGATAATTTACATTGATTATTTTAATTAGTATGATTCGATTTACGCAATGAGGATAAAGAATCTGTTGAATTATGTTTATTTAAGGGCTGAAATTATTTAATGCAATGGAACAAGTACATGAAATTATCATATATGATTATTACGAAGAGAGTCTTAAACAACTATGTACTATTTTTAAACAGTTAAAAATATAATGGAAATTTTGTGACTGAGAATTTACTTTCCTGAAGTAAACTTAGAAAGACCTTCTAGCAAACTAACATATGCTGTGTGTTCATAATTTGTACTAAGTTCAATTAATTTCTCTGCGAATTCGTTTGAAACACCCTTCTCTTCTAAGTAGTTCATCAGCAAATCATACAGATACTGGAAACAAAAATATCATATAAATATTTGAGTATCAAAATTGTTAAACGTGAAATTAATTTGTTTGTGACATCCTCTAAGTGTGATCTTTTTAAACACAATAAAAATCAACAAAGAAGAGAATGCATTACTTTTCCAAAGATTAATATTCAAAATGGTTATCGAATATTCCACTTTGTACTCAACTCTTTGGGCAGAATAAAGTAACTAAAGCTTTGACTTACCCCATCAATAATTTCACCAGCTACTGCATATATTTTGTCGTTATGCTCACCTTCGTACAAAGTGATTTCGTCTATGCCAAAGATATCATCTGGAATCAAATATTTCTGTGAACTACTTTGAACAATATAATTAAATGCCTTGTAGATTGCAATTAGTAACAAAATAATTATATTTACTGTAATTGTCACTAGCACCAGATGCACCAGGTTCATTGTTGTATGAACAGGTGAATCCAAGTGTCTGGTTTCCTCTTAGTATATCTACAGTGAAATTTGGTTTACTTTTCATTTCACCAATATTTGCTGAATCATCAATAGCAGTTCTGTTTATGTCAAGTTGTTCGTCAGGGTCGGTATCCACAGTATGATTTATGTTGAAAGATATTTTAATTCTAAAATGCATATTATTTATAAAGTTAGATACATACTTCGATTTAAACACTTCACTTTTATTACTATATATTAATGTTTAATTTTAATCAAATCTGCCTCACATTTCATTGCCTTCTTTTTTCTCTAAATTAACATCAGCTCCATCAAGGGATACTTTGAAGCCATGTAGTTCGGTGGGAATAGTTTTCAACTTCTGTGCTTTCTTTTCTGCTACTATTTCTTCTGCTAAGAATTCTACCAGTTCCTTTTCAGCTAATAAAACAAAGACAATTCTTCATTTAAAAATACATATCTAAAGTTTACGATTATAACAAAAACTAAAACTCATTAAAATCCGTTTCTGAAACACATTAAGAGTTTTTTTCATCGATTCGTTATACCAAAATCACCGAGATATTTAATATAATAGAATAATAAATTTCATATTATTATCTCTACAATAAATAATATTACACTGTAAAAAACATTTGTATACCTTTTGTATGACTGCCTCTACAACTGTTACAATTGCAGAGGAAATGTTGGTGCTTCGTTTTCGTTACACCGAAAGTGGTTAGTTCAGTTTGCCGTGAACACACTCTCCATAATGACCTCAGTTGATTTTTCGCGACTCCTGTTCTGGAGGATGATGAAATAAAATTCCTAACTATCGCTGACCGCAGCGTATTCCTTATAATACCGTTCATTTTATTTCTTTCGTTTATTAAATCCTCACCACGAGATAGCCGGTTCAGTTACAAAATGGCTTCGTAGAAGTGTTAGGCACGAGGAAGGAACAATTGCGTCATTGATCAACCAAAGTTTTGATTCATTGCCAATTCTAATTTCCGTAACGTAAAACTTTCCATGATGCTCCCTGGTGGATATATAGGGGAATTGTAAATATATAATTTTCATTAAGCGATATCATTTTAATTTAATTATTAAGTACATTTAAAGTCATTTGTATAAATGGAACGTCTGCTTTCGTTTCTTGCGAATACAATTTTGATTCCTAGTAACTTTTTGTTTGGCAAAGTGATTGGAGCAAAAATAGATAATACGTCGTACATATTCTTCTTAATTCTGATTTATTTTTAAACAAACAGAAAATAAATAGTAGGCTTCAGGGTAGATTTACTTAAATAAAAGACCTCCTGACATTAACTTACATCAAAGGTAAAAAATTGTGGCAAATTATAAAAGGGAGAATAAATTCTTTCAGAATCCCTGAAGTCTTAGAATTAAATGAATATCCTTATTGGATACAATCATTTTGAATAATCATCCGAGGAACAGAATTTTTGCATAAATAATTCTTACCATTATATGCATTAGGTATTTATTATAGATACCTGAATCAATAAATATTATAGATACCTAAATTAATAAATATTGATTTAACCCCTAGCCCTACGACTGATTTTTCAACTATGATCGACGCAACTTGTCATTAATAATTTATTGAAAAGAGAGACAGATTTTAGATATATTCCATACCCGTTTGATCTAAACGGCAATAATTGATAACAGAAGAATAATATTTAATTTAAACTCACAAACATTGAGTAATATTTTATTATATAATATATATTTTATTTTATAAAGCAAGGGGTTAAAAGCTGAATCCTTGTAAAATAAAAATACTGGAATATATCCTCATAATTAGGATCACGGAATCTCCATAGCAACCAAAGGAGAGAAGGAGATCAAATGGAGATTCCGATTTATTAAGTTTTATTCTGAGTACTTCAATTCGAAGACAATTTTACAATGCGAAAATACGTATGCTCGTAGATACATACAGTCGATGCACTTTAATATCATTCAAATGTGTAAGTTCTAAGAAGGCTGCGCAATATTCGGGCCTACAACAACTGGCGAAGCGACAAACGTTAATGAACGGTAACGAACATTCCGTTTGATCGCCACCCCCACCCGCGCCCCCCACCGCACGCACAGTTGTCGAATGTCTGAGTAACGGTCGTAATATATACTTGATTATAATAAAATAGTTGTACACAGCAATTGTTTTATTTATAATAAATGCAGTAAGCTGACTAGTAAATTTTACAAATCACAGGTAGGAAGGGAGTGTCGCGTACGCAACACAGAGGTATATTATTAACAATTTCTTTTCTTTTTTTTTTCTTCTTCCTTTTTT